GGGACGCTTGTAGACTGCCTACACGTTGATGCATTAATATATTCATATATTACTAGTAATTAATTTACATAATTTACATGATAATATATGAAGGTGCCGTCGATAAAAATGTAATATTATTGTTCTGTACCGTTTCCTGAATTAGTATTTTTTTAACTAATTTTATTAGATGTTATTGGTCAATTAGATGAAATACTTGCTTTTCTCATATTAAGTTAAATTTTCAAATTTATTTCCTAAAATCAATTACTGCATGTAGAGTAAAACAGCGTCAGCCATTACTGTGCACGTTTAGCGCGCGATGTGAATGTGCATTATTATGGATAAAATGGAGAGTCTATAGGTTTGGAGAGCTTCACTGAAGCAATTTACTTTACCCGATTAATTAAACTAGTATTATTTTTTGGAGCCCAGTATTTTCTGTTATCTTTTACGTCCAAGAATGAGTACGGAGACACAACAAATTCACGCCACCCTTTGAAATTACTCATCCATCGTTTCGAAGGATCTTCCGACTTAATAGTCAGGACACAAAAAATTCTGTATACACTCCCGAGCATCTGCATTCTAAAACAAACATCTTGTAAACCCGAACTATCTTAAAACGTTTTTTTACACGTTGGTTACGATTTAATGCGCCTCATGCGTAAACAAGACGGAAACAAATGATACGCTCCCAAAAAATAATATTAATGGAAGGCACGACAGACTTAATGGTACCAAAATCCCGATCGGAGTCTCCCGTTTCGGGTCGTATACCAGACATTCTAGGCAGAGCGATAAGTCATCGATTAAAAATATCCTAGACGAGAAATAAAGTTTATAATAATTTCCACTCCGATCTAAATATGCAGGACGTCTGGTTATCTGAATAACAAAATTAAGCGAGTATTTTGAATAAATTACAATATTATTACGGCAAGCTCGGATCTGATCAACGCGTCGATTAGTACAGAAGCATTTTGTGCTGATATAAATCGGTGTGTAATGTCCGTGGCGTTTTTGACAAATCACTTAAGTGCGTTTAAAAATATATACGTATTAGTCATTTTTTATCTTCTATTGAAAACGTGAATATACTTAATAGGCATCCAAGGCGAGCAAAAAACCTGATTGATGATGTCCAACACATTTTTGCATAATTGAAAGTTATAATTAAATGTAGATTTTATTGAAGTTACAAAAACTTTACTGGAAACATTATATGAGGTCTGTTCAGAAAATTTTAATTCTGTTGCACTGAGATAACGAATAATTATACCAAAAATGTCAGGTAGTATCGAAATATCAGGTTTAAATCAAAGGATTGTTGTGAGTCTGTGTCAAAGTTGTTGTTTGGTTCAGTTTTACTCAAAACTGCATGCCTGGGTTTTGTTTAATGAATAAAAATAATGTAAAAAAAGAAACAAAAAAAATCTGTTATTAGAGATACACCAGGTGACTTTGAGTACTCAGATTAATATCTTTGACCTTGTTATTTTTATGGGCAGGCAATAATGTTTATTGATGTATGTATTTTTAATTTCTGTAAACTGGTTTTATATTAAATAAGAACAACATGTTCTAATCTGTCACACAGATCATTCTGGTTTTCTGCTTCATCTGAATCTACACCATTCTCGAAAAATTCCTCAAGGTTTCCGCCAAAAGCAACATCAAACAAAAATTGCCACAGTTTGGATAAATGTGTGTCTAAACTGGAGATTTGTTTGCTGCATAAAAGTTCTTCGTACTTGCTACGACAAAGGATTTCTCATGTTTTATAGCAAAACGTGCATTTCATGACCTTGGAAACAGCGTTTTATTTTTAATTTTACTTAAAATTGCGTTTTGAATATTTTATAATTTACTTAAAGGTTACTTTTATTAAACTAACCAAAAATACCACACTGAAAAAATCACATCGCTATCACGAACCTCGATTTCAGAAAAAAACAGTGTTTGGCAATAAAAATTACTGATATATTTTTTATTTCAGTGTGAAATTTTTTAATTAATTAATGTTTTAATAAAAATTACCCTTGACAGAAAGAAATCCTACATACCTACTGTTCTAGCATTTTAATAATCACCTGCTTCTATTCAGGGTAACAATAAAACTTATTTGCATACAACAAACCAATGACCCCAACATGAGTTAATTAACTAAATCGTAATATACATTTAATATAATCTAAATAAATGAATATTCTTCCCACTTTTTAGGTTAGGTGATCTGCCCTGACGTCAAACGTAGGACATTGAACTGTATGAATATTGACTTTTAAATTGTTCGCAATATTAAATGCAGTTTAATTGTCTTATAACAATATACCATGTGTTGTTAAATAATGAAATACTTAAAAATATTTTTATACATTTATGGAACAAATAAAATTTGCTATAAACTTCATAGCAAATTTTGCTTTATAGTACAAACATATACAGGGTGTCCCGGTAGTTGATACCAAAAAGTCGTGTACAGATAGATGAGGTCAAAATAATATCAGTTCTTCATATAAATTTTTTTCATACGGGCCTTACTATCTACTAATGTAATTTTCACTAACAAAACTTGACAAACACATTTTACACATAACACAAAACGGAAAAACAAAACAAGAATAAGTTAAAGTAAGTTTAGTATTCAACTCCAAATATCTACCTATTAAATTGTTACTAACTATTAATGTATGAGCAGGAATAGTGGGTAATAATTTAATAGCTCCATAAGTTTTTGAGGAACGTCTGAATGGTCATCGATATTTGGAGTTTTTGCAAAATAATTTGCAGCCACTATTAGACCATGTTCCATTAGACACCTGTAGCAGATGCTGCAGAAAATCCATAAGAAATAAGTGGTTCGGTGATTTATTTTGATTATTAGGATGCAATGACTTGAATGTACAAATATAATTTAGGTATAATTTAATTAAAAACGCATAATTTTATTGTATAAAATATGATTTTGTTAAATGTCACTATTTAAATTACGAGCCAGGTTATTTTGCAAATTTTTGGCACCGTTTCATGGTTTTTTGTAAAGAACAAAAAACTTAAAAAACTCTCCAGGAAAACACGCATTGTAGCCGTCTTCAAGCAACTAAATATTAAATAGGTAACGTCAAATTTTTCTTACAGTAGCTTGAATGATTGTATGATTCGGATATTTGTTATTGAATATTTCATATTATTATTACTGTGTTTGTACCAAACAAATTAAAATTAAGAATTAAATTAATTAGCTGGGCTTAAATATTTGAAAAACACAAAATGTAGGTATTTAGCAGAAAGTACTGACTTTGACGTTACAGTCCTTACGTAGGTATCGAGAGTAATTTTTGAAAATTTATACAGGGTGAGTCATTATTAATGGTAATAGCAAATTGTTAACGTCAAAATATAGCGATTGAGCCAAACATGCCTTAATCAATTGTTGCTCATTTTCGTTCTACAGGGTGTTAAAGTTGAAAAAATATTTTCTTTTTTTATCTATATTTTAAGTATGTGTGGACCGATTGTTTTGGAAATTTGTAGTTTTACGTTTTTTGAGGAGGCAAATACGGATATGCAAATAGTGTTGGGCTCACATCTGGGCACTAGTTGTACTATCCTGTCAATGTAAAAATATGTCTTTGTATCTCACTTTTTATATTTTACAATTTTGAATTTTTTAATTAGAAATTGTTGAACTGCGTTCAATTCTAAGTAAAAAAGGTATACTTGTTAGAAATCGATAAACTCCACTGTTTTCGAGATACAGACATTTTAAGTTTTTGAGATTCGACGGGAATTAAATTAGAAAATTATGTTTTCCAAAGTAGTAGGCATGGACATAATAAATTGTCAGCTGTCTCTACAATACCATGTTGTTTTCTACTCAATTTGATTAAGAAATAGTTTTTCCTTGTTATTTTTTAGAGAAGAGAATACCTTAATAAAAGGCTAATAAAGTGCATTGAAGTTGCTGGTAGTTAATAATTTGTTAAGATATGCATAATAAAATCTTTAATTGCTGTAATGTTTGTCTTAATTCTTAATTCAGGCTTGGTATCTTAAGACCTGCCAATTTTCTAATTTAATACCCGCCGAATCTCAAAAACTTAAAACGTCTGTGTCTCAAAAACGGTTTAGTTTATCGATTTGTAACTAGTACAATTTTTATTTAGAATTGAACGTAGTTCAATAGTTTGTAGTTAAAAAATTCAAAATTGTAAAATACAGAAAGTTAGACAGATTTTTACATTGATAGGACAGTATAACTAGCGCCCTCTAGACGTGACCCCAACTACAAATTTTCAAAACAATCGGTACATACACACTTAAAATATAGATAAAAAAGAAAAATGTTTTTTTCAACTTTAACACGCTGTAGAACGAAAAGGAGCAATAATTGATTAATACATGTTTGGCTCAATCACTATATTTTGACGTTAACAATATGCCAATAAGCTGTGTACCATTATTAATGACTCACCCTGTATATATTCCATATTTAGACGTTATTATCTCGAAAACGGTTAAAGATAGGTATAGGTTATGTTACACAAAAAATGATCAGAATTCTATGGAGAATTGATTAAAAATGCAAAAAAATCCGTCCGAGCGATTTTTCAAATAACGAACGTCTGATTTTTAAATAAATATATTCCGTACTTTTGCCGCTCACGGTGTATTTGACATTGACATTGATGCAGTTAATAGAAAACTATATCTAACTAACTATTTTTTATCATCGGTTTACGTGACTGATTGTAAATTATATTTTATATTTAGAAATCCAAATATTTTATGAATAATTAAATAATTAATGACCAGAAATCTGTCAAAGGTCGATAATAATCGCAAAAGTTTCAATGTAACCGGTTTTTTTATTCTGCGTTTCGCAATAAGCTCGGCAGTATGTAGCTAGTGATTTTTTTTTAAATAGAGCGCAACAAACTCTCGCGAATTGCCGATCGTGGCGCAACAAATCGCCTAATCCGCCGGGACAGAAAAAGGACGAAAGTCGACGAACTCACCTACGAAACATGATGCCGCCCTTAATCCTCTATCACCCTCATGCGCACAACACACTCACCATGCCGCCACCGTCCACGTGTTCCCGGTGCACGTGCAGACAAGCTCACGCGTCAAACTTTCACAGACTTCCCGTGTGCTGGGCGAGATAGGACTGCCGCGAGATTTGTACTCACGCTCTGAGTCCTCAGTCGGTCATCTTCGGTATCAAAGACGCTCCTTCGGGAGGGGGTCCTCTTCATTTGCACCCATTGTTGTTTTTTTCATTGTTTTCCGTTATTTAATCAGCCCCGGTCGCGACGGCAATGGGGATTCGCCGCGCTGATCGCGGTCGCCCGGTTTTCAGGCTTTTGTTTTGATTTATTTCCACTTGGTGGTTGCCTTTCAACGGCGACTCTTTGTGGGCATCCGCTGCGTCGGGAGGGAGGCGGCAGCAGAGTAAAAAGAAAACCATCGGCATTACGCTGCAGATTAGTGAGGTCGTTAACAATGGGAACTGGCTAATTGGAAAATATTCGAAGACATGTCAAGAGAGTTAAATATTAATCAGACGGCCCGAGTCGATTTGAACTTGATCGGTTGGTCCACGAACTGCTTGTTAACCCTTTACGAATCTGTCTACGATTGTTGGAAAACGCTCCATACGGGGTGTTCCAGGATTAATTGACCAAACTTGAAATTTGGTTTGAGGTAGTCAGAGTAAGAGTCCTATGAAGAGATGATTCTAGATGTAGGGGGACATCTTTGAAGTCGATTGGTGTAGACCAGTGGCGGCTCCTCGTATGAAGCAAATGAGGCCGAGCCTTACTGTAAAATTTGCCAGAAATTCTTTGCTTGTAGACGCGTCACACTTGCCTACAATATTAAAATAACGTGATTCACGGCGTAACTGAGGCCCGCTTAAAGCTGCTTGTACTTGTAGTTTCAGTTCGCGGTTAATGCACGCGTCGCATAGTACGCGGGTACTGTCTGATGTCAGTGTGAGGGATAGTACAAAGGCTTTAAAGATAAGGACAGGGCAGGTATCAATTTAAAGTCAATAAAAACAACTTCCTTACAATAAAACAAATTAAGATTAAATTTAACGTAATTTAATACATACCTATTATTTTATCAATATACAGGGTGGTCCCGAGGTAAAGGGCCAAAATTCATGGGTAGATTCCCCAAGTAAAAATATTGCGATTTAGCCGAACTTAACGTTAGTCCAAAAGTTGATAGTTAAAGAGGTACAGAGTGTTAAATGTTTTATCACTTGAAACGCCTTTTTCAAAACGTAAAGACAAACTATTGCTCTAAACAAATTAAAATCGCTAGTTAAAGAATTTCTGAATTAAGAACAGAAGAAAAATGTAAATATATTTTTAATTTTCGAAAAATATTACTGGACTACCAAGGAAAAGGTCAAAAGTTGAATATTACCAATAAATATAACAACTACTAGCATGTGAATTTTTCTATCGAATGATTCTTAATACAAAGAAATATTTATTCTCATGACTAAAATAAGCATGTTGAATTAGAAAATCCACCCTTAAGCGCGCTCAAGGGGTGGAATATCCCCAAAAATAGATAACATCAGAAATAACTGTAAAAATTCCAAAAAAATATATATTAAAATTATTCAGGACTAGGACAATATGGATTAACTATTCACCCCCTAAGTGCGCTTAAAGGTGGATTTTCAAATTCAACATGCCTATTACTGTAATGAAAATAATTCTCTCTTTGTATCAAGAATCATTCAATAGAATAATTCACATGCTAATAGTTTTTATATCAATTGGTAATATTCAAATTCTTCATTTTTTGGCATTTTTTCAACCCCTACGTAGGGGTAATTTTTAAAATTTACAAAATACTAAAAGCTATGCTCACTTCAGTTTTTTACGACAAGTAATTTGCGACCAAAAACATATTTTTATGTATATTTTTTAATTCTCTGCGAATTGTGAAAAAACGGGCGAAAATCGCAGGTTTTTCGCGGTCACTCTTTGGACAGGACATAGCTAATACAAAGCGAAACAGCGCCTTAATGTTAAAAATGTTGTCACCGCCGTTCTTGGTTGTGAACATTCGAAATATTTGGAATTATTCAAATTTCGTGGCCGAAAACGTACTGTATTTTTGAAACCTAGAGAGTTGCACGAAACTAAATTTGTACAAGACCTCACCTATTCACAATGTCACGAGCCACCACTGGTGTAGACAACAATAACAATAACAGAAATGTAATTATCATTCGATGTTGCAACAACGTAGTAGAAATAATTTACTTTTTAATTCGTTTTAAATATAACCGCACATTATTAATGATATTTTCTTTACAGACACGAGAGTGCATATCTTTGCCGTTCTATTCCGTTGAAATTCAAGACATCCAGAAGGACATTTCAATGACAAGACAAACTACAATAGTGGTAGGCTATTTCCAACTATCGTTTTTCAATGTTTTTTTGCCCTTTCATACAAGTTCACTCCTTTTGAATACAGGCGACGTTATAATTTACGTTATTTTCGACCAATAGTTTTGTAGCGACACATGCTTGATCATTGTTTACTCGATTGGAATATGTAAGTTGATTTTACACCTGATATGTTAACAAGGTGGTAGAGAGGCAAAAACCAAAAGTCCTACGTTAATTCGACGAAACGAGAATTTACCTTATATCTTTTTACGTAACAAAAATGTATTTTTTAGACATTTCGATCTTGATCAAGAGCTTTATCAGCATTTATAACGTTGTAAATATAAACTTACTTGAAAGTGGCGGCAAGTAGAAATAAATATACATTTTTATTTTGCAAATAATCTTTAATATTCGCTTTTGTACACGTTTCCTGGAACTTTTTGAGGTTTTTTTCATGTAAACATCTTTATCTTTAGAACAGCATTAAACAAAGCGTAATACAACAAACATAAACCATTTTGTACACTGTTTGGGTTATTATAAGAAATCATCAGAGGTAAATATGTCCCTCTTTAAACATTAAAGCTTATTTCGTAAGAAAACATTTTCCAACTCACAGTGACTGTCGTCAATATACACCGTTATCGAGAAATGTAGTGCTCGACTGCTTAGGTGGTACAACGGTAGCCAACTTGATAAATGTTATAAGACATTAGTGAAATAAGCTGCCCGAATCTCGGCAAGGCGAAACAGTATTTTATGTATACTTGTTTTATGATGCAGCCGACTTGCACTAAGTTGGTTTTAAGATATAATAGATGGAATTACATAATTCTACGGATTTAGGGGCTTCGCTGGGCGTGATGCAGCCTTGATTATTTATCTATATTAATGGGTTTGATAAATATTTACGCATTTATTCGCTTCTCTGCCCAAAACCAGAATTCCACCTTAAAGAAATATCGGCGTTGCTTTGTGGCATAGCAAGATTGTCACTTAATTTAATCGTTTTTTCAGCACCTTCCTTTACATCGAACTTTTCTGAGTAAATCAGATTCTTTTTAACTGAAATTAATATACGGGGTGTTCCACCTTAGAGGGATTCTTCTGTAATTCTGCAACTGTAAAATTTATTTAAAAAAATGGTTCGTTTCGCGTGTAAGTAGAGTAAGTCGAAAGGGCATTCAATTTTGCATTCACCCATGACAATTAAAAAAAACACCCTGTATAACATAAATTTCTTAACTTAAATCAACTTTCAGTCACTTGTAGTCCTCTAATATATTCCTATTTATATGTTCTCTAACACATTTTTTTTATATTTTGATTGAAGCAACCGTAATTTGTTTTAAAAAATTCTTTCAGATAGTCGTGGATTATATCGCAGATATTTAAAAACTTTTCAAATAAGTATTTAAAATTGCAGCTTTCCGCTCGAATATCTACAGAACCGGCTACTTTTTAATAATCGGAACTACATATACAACGTATAACACTGATACCTGTGTGAGTTCAATTTAAAATTCCATGTAAATTTGTTCTGCACTGCGATATGCAAAAAGTCCGTTCAATACTTCCATTATAGCTCGCATTAGAACATGAATCATTTCTTCCCCAAACACGTATTAATACTATTCGTTCCCGGAACCTATAAATACATCCAGTATGGAAAAATAAGTAGTTTCAAGCCAACGCTTTGAAATATTGGGCAATTCCGAATTTATCTGAAAATTCGGCGTCTGTAACGTGGTTGTGTACAGCTATGGTTTTAATAATATGAAGTAGTCACAACAACAACAACAACAACAACAACAACAACAACAACAACAACAAGAGCAACAACAACAACACAAAAATATAAAAACAATCCTGAATTTTTAGGTGATACACAAAAGGCTATAACTTGGAGAAAAATGGTCGTAGAGCAATCAAAAGAAAAGCAAATTGTAGCTTAAATATATATTTTCTTGTAATTTTCAAACATTTTAAAACGTCGTAACTACTCGTAATTATTCAGAGAATGTTTTAAGTGCTTCAAATGCGTTGGCATCGATTTTAATTTTTTTCTCTAAGAATCCCTACAGATTCCGTGCCCTAATTATTATATTCGTCAGATATTACGTCAGTTAATGGACAAGCTTACCCTATTATAGAGCAGTACTCTCAGACTGGTTTAATTACGTTTTAATTAAACGAATAGAAAGCTGGCTTACGCGGAGTAGAGATTGAAAAAGCTGATTATGCATGTACTTAGGAACAGCGTGATCCGACGTAAAAGAAGGTCCGAGGAACAATATTCTCACGTTGGTGAAGAAGAACGAAAGATTAATAACTATACATACTCATACACGCATATTAATTGCAGTTTTTTCTGTATTCAACAGAAAAGAGCAATTTCTTGACTGATCTCAGCAAATGAAAACAAGAAACCAAAATTGTAATCTCACTTAGGCTTCGAAATATGACACGCTTCAGCCTAAATTATTTCGCAGAACGAAGAGCTCCAATATCACGCCGTATAAAACTGAGCGATTTTGAATAAACCGGGCGTCGCATCGTGCGTATATCAGCTTTATGATGTCGTCTGTCATACTGTTTTTACTTGCCCTGATATATCGCGTCATTTTATAACTCGGCAGCCCCTTTATGTCTGACAGGTAGTTTTTTATTGCCAGCCGGGATCCCGTGTAGACCTCATACGCGCCAACTGAGGTTTACCTCTGAAATT